ACGGAGCAGATCCTTGACCCGTTCCTCTTGGATCACAGGAGCTTCGATTTGCTCTCCCTCCCTGCTCTCAGACACCGAAGGCCAGCTCACCTGGGAACTGCTGACCTTATTATTAAAGACTGAGGCAAAGAAGGCATTAAGGACCTCACCTTGTCCTCATCCCTAGTGACTAACGTACCCCCTGTGTCCAGTAGGGGCTGGAGGGGATCTTTAGCCCTCCTTTTGTTGTTAATGTATTTATAGAAGGACTTTTTGTTGTCCTTTACGGAGCAGCCTAGTCTTAAGTTCCAGTTGGGCTTTTGCCCCCCTGATTATCTCCCTACATGCCCTGTAGTCCTCCCTGGACGCCTGCCCATTCTTCCAAGACTTATAGACTTCCCTTTTTCTTTTGAGGTGTTCCCAGATCTCCTTGGTCATCCAAGCCGGTTTTCTACCCCGGCAACTCGATTTCCGGCACACAGGGACAGCTCGCTCCTGTGATTGATGTGAGCTGTGATTTTTTTGTATCTCTACAGACGAGCGGTTGTACCACACTGTGTCATGTCTCTCGAACAGTCTGGCCCTGGTGGTAGGAGGGCGAACATCCCCATCAAGGGCAGGTTTGGGAATGTTGTGGCTAAAGTTCCCTGAAAGCTGTAATGCCTCGGACCCAGATGATGTTACAGTGGAGCTTGTAAGCCTGCAGCCTTTTGCTGAACCAGCTGCTTTGCGTTGGAGACACAGTACAACTGAAGTAATATTCAAAGGTAAAAAGCCTGGAAAGATTTTTTTTCTGTAGATATGTGGAGGTGTGCAAATTCCAGAATGTATGGGGCAGTCCTGTCCAGACAGTGGGGTCTAAAAGGCCAAGTGTCATGATACAGCCTTACTTTTTGTGTAGTACAGGCTATGCAGTTAATGTTGTGCATTGTATTCCTTTGTCTGAAACAGTAGCTTTTTGCTGAACATTTTGAAAAGAACATGATCTTGATAGATTGATCATCACTTTAGAGAATCAAGTGACGTTTTGTTTCAGGGTGATTTTTTTTTTCCAGGCTTAAAGCCTTAAGGCTTAAACTTCATTTGAATGTATTTTTCTTATCATATCTGCCCAGTTCTTGTGCCTTTTTTGTTTGTCAAGTATTTGTGAGAGGCTTTAGTAAATCTGACAAAAGGGAAAGACTGAGCTGTCTCAACTGAATTTCCTGAACTGAGCAACTGAATTGGTTGATCCAACGATTGAGCAGGATTTCAGTTATCTCTGCCATTAGTACAAGGTCGACTTGTTATAGAACCTATACAACAGATACCTTGTGATAATGACTTTTATTATAGATGAGCTGCAATCTTGTTAGTTTTCTAGATGCAGGGCAGGAATCAAAAATACGTATGACTCTATAGTTCTGAAAAAAGCTCATAATGCATTTTTGGAAGCACTACAATATATACTTGCAACTGCGATTTGGTTGACTCTCTCTCACAAACACCCCTACCCACAAATGAAAAGACTCATTTCCAGCTGTTCCTGTTTAAGGTACAGGATGTGGCCAGACAGGCATACTGACCAGCAGCCTGTTTACATATGACTAGCCCATTTTATCCTGTTACCCATCTGTCTTCCTGTGTTTGTACCTCTCCAAATCACCTAAATCCACCTCTTTTTCTGCCTCTGGTTCTCTCTTGAGCACCCCATAAGTCGTCTTACGCAAACCCTAAATGCTCTTCCCCTGCATCTTATAATGTGTCCCATACCCCTAGGCAGTAGCCCCTCAAAGGTGCTCCAGAGAGTTGCTCCTGTTCACTCATTTCGATGGGTTTCATAGCTGGACAGCGGGGCTGACGCTTGTCCTGGGACAGCCCTGGGAGGAACCAGGACAGATTGTCGATTCTGTAAGCAAGTAACTGGGGTTCTGTTGCCTGCACACCTGCCACTTCTGTGCTCCTCTTGTGCGTGAGGAAATGAGCCTTTTACGGCTTGATTGCTTTTCTGGGATGGGTCTGGAAACAGCTGAGGCAGCATATTATTTGGGTTCCCCTGCCTTGTTTTGCCTCTATGCTCCTCTGTGGGTGTGCAGGTGAGCTTTTGAGCATGTATCCCGGCACTGCTAGTGAGTGAGGCTTTGTAATGATAAACAGATGCTTAAAAGCAAAGCAAAGCAAATGTGAAGAATTCTTAGTGTTAAGAATTACTAGTAAAGTAACAAAAACCAGAATGGAGAATACTGTTGTGCCATTATGTAAATCATTCAATCATAGAATGGTTTGGGTTGGAAGGGACCTTTGAAGGTCATCCAGTTCCAACCCCCCTGCCATGGGCAGGGACACCCTCCACTACACCAGGTTGCCCAAAGCCCCATCCAACCTGGCCTGGAACACTGCCAGGGATGGGGCAGCCACAGCTTCTCTGGGCAACCTGCACCAAGACAACCTGATGTAGGGGAAGGTGTCCCTGTCCGCAGCAGGGGAGTTGGAACTAGATGATCTTTAAGGTCCCTTCCAGCCCCAAACATTCTATGATTCTATGAAATGTTACTCTTCTAGTAGCAATTAAAAAATACTCAGTAGTTCTGACTAGGTCTAGAATCAAGCACTGCAGTGGCACGCTGAAGGTTTGTCTAGTAAAAGATATCGACAGTAAGGGGCAAAAACTTTAGCAGTTGTTAGCAAGTCAGTGGTGAGACTTGGTGGAATTCTGGAGGTGAAAGCTGTCTTTTCTTAAGCTGTTTCATTCTCCAGTAGCTGACAGGGAGCTATTGAAGGGGAACACCAAGGGAATTGTTTAATTAACACCATAATGTAGTTTAGAGTTCAGCCTTCCAGTCTAAATTTTACATCAAAGAAGCAATTACTAAATGGGTAAATAAAATTTTATAAATAATACATTGGGTTTTGTCTTTGTCAGACTGTATTGTATTATAGTTTTGCCTTGATTTTGCTTTGTAGCTGAAATGTTCAGTTTACAACACTTCAGTAAGTGATACAAACCAACACTTGTGTTAATTGCACAGTCCATTGTGAAGAAGTGAGCTGACAGCATAGTGCAATTAATGCAGATCCTTGACATCTACCAAGAGTACTTTTGCACCTTCTATACCTCCTTTTTGAGACTTCTCCACGTTAACTCCTGCACACTTAGGTTATCATTATGTCCCTTTTGTATGAACAAATACACATCTTATGAGGATTTACCTGTTTCCTTGGGATAAATAGGTGCCATTGTGTTGCTATGATTACTGTACTTAGGGTTTTCTAGTTTTATTAGTTCTACAGATGTAATCTTTCTGTTGTCTAAATTTTCATTCCTTGGGTCCATTATGTATATTAAACTCCATGTTTTCTCCTTTTGCTTTTGAGACTATAGTGTGTGGTTTTCCATTCAGACCTTAAATATTCAGAAACTATATAATGTAGCTAAATGATGGAGGTCTTCTGAATGACCATAAATGTGAATAATACAGCTTCTTAGTAAAAATACTTAGTCTTCTATGTGTTGTATAAAAGATCTAGATACAAGAGTAATTCTTGTGTCTATGAAACAATTTCTTCCATTTATTGCTCAAGTCAGGTTGCCCAGAGAGGTGGTGGATGCTCCATCCCTGGAGACGTTCAAGGCCAGGTTGGACGAGGCCCTGAGCAACCTGATCTAGTTGGAGATATCCCTGTTCCTTGCAGGGGGGTTGGACTAGATGACCTTTGAAGGTCCCTTCCAGCCCTAACGATTCTATGATTCTAAGTCTGGAAATATTTGCCAAGTTGCTGGATGTTTTAATATAAATAATGTGTAAAACTTTTGCCTGACTGCATTAATTTCTGTCTTGGGTCAGCTTCCCTTCTGTGCAAACAGAAATTTTTGCTTTTGTGAAATACCAAATTCTAACTTCTTTTTTCACCTGATTGTCTTTTTCTGTAGGCGAGAAGTACCTGTTTTTATATGGTGGCCGCTCTGCTATGGAGCCTGTGCTAGGGGACTGGTATTTCCTGCACACTCAAGAACTTTCCTGCACTGTGGTAAGAATTTAGGGAGGCCGTGGGGAGTAGAAATTGAGTTCACTTCATAGGTGCATGCTGCTGTATTGGAAGCCCAACTAAATCACAGTGGTATTACCATATTGAAGCGGATGGCATTGGCAGTACTGTCGTGCTCCACGGTGATTAGAGTTAGAGCTAACGTCTAAATATTGCTATTTAGTGCAATACCATCTTATAATTGAGGTTGGAAGGGAACATCTGGAGATCATCTAGTCCAGCACCCTTGCTTAAAGCAGGTGTAACTAAGAACAGGTTGCTCAGGATATTGTCCACTCAGATTTTGATTATCTCCAAAGATGGAGACTCCACAACCTCTTTGGGCAACCTATTCCAGTGCTTGACCACCCTTATAGTAAAATGTGAGGGGTTTTTATGATTAAGTGAATTTTTTTGTATTTCAGTTTGTGCCCATTGCCTCTTGCCCTGTCGCTGGATACTACTGAGGACATTCTGTCTCCATCTTCTTTCATCTCTCCCATTAGGCATTTATACATGTCGATAAGATTTCCCCGTGAGTGTCCTCATTCACCGAGGCAGGTACCTCTGGTGCCAGCATGATATGCAGCAGACGCGCTTTGCAGTTAGCAGGGAGTTTTCTGAGCCAGGGAAGCCTTGGGAGTGTGCAGAGACAGAGCCAGGAGCAACTGTGGCCAAGCCTCCCCCACTGATAAAAGAAACCCTTAGGGAGTGCTAGCGACCAAGAGTGCTGCGACCAGGGCATGCAAACAGCGCGGCGTGGCGTGGCATGGCATGGCATCCAGGGTGTGATGTGGCAGTTTGCACCAAAGGGCACTGTACCTTTGCCAGCTCAAACAGGGAGCAATGGTATCTACCCAGCAGAAGGCTATCTATGTCCGCAACTGACGCAGCGTCCCAGGCAGAGCTCTGATGGGAACATGCTGCCACCCACGTGCCAGGCTGCAGACCGTGCCCTACTCTCACGCCAGTACCAGTACCGGATGGCAGCAGTGAGCACACCTGTGGGAGATGCACCCAGGTAGAGGAGCTCCTTAGCTTAGTGGCGTAGCTCCAGGAGGAGGTGAGTACTTTGAGGAGTACCAGGGAGTCTGAGAAGGAGATTGTCTACTGGAACCACACCATACCTTCCCTGGGACAGGCCCAGCAGGCAGACAGGATGCATGACAGGGAGGATTCCCTGTCCTCTTTCCGCCCAGCATAACGCAGTGACTTAAGGGATAGAGGAGAATGGTGACAAGTTCCTGCCTGGTGCAGCAGGTGCATCTCCTCCGTGACTACCTCACCTTCTCAGGTCCCCTTGTACAACTGGTATGAGACTCTGGAAGTGGAACCAAACAATGATGAGGATGAAGGTCTGTCTGGGTTGGATGTGTTGCCAAGGTTAAGTCAGCCTATGCCCTGTGTCAAAACCCGTTCTGTTAAGAAAAAAAGATGGCTCATTGTCGTAGGAGACTTCTGAGGGGAACAGAAGGCCCAATATGCCAACTAGACCCACTCCTGAGGGAAGTCTGGTGCCCTTGTGGGGCCTGGGTCAAAGATGTTAAAAGAAAAATTCCTGCCCTGGTATGGCCCTGGGATTAGTATCCATTATTGCTTTTTCTTGTAGGCCGTGATGAAGTTGCAATAAGAAATCTAAGGACAATCAAAAGAGACTTTCAGGGCCTTGGGATGACTGGTTCATGTTTCAGGAGCACAAGTAGTGTTCTCTTCCATCCTTCCAGTTGCAGGGAATGATGCTGAAGGAAACAGGAATACCCAGCTGATCAATACCTGGCTCCGAGCCTGGTATTACCAGCAGAATTTTGGGTTTTTTAATCATGGGTCTCCTTACACAACAGCAGGCCTGCTGGCAACAGACATGGTACACCTGTCTCAAAGGAGGAAAAGAATCTTTGCGCAGGTGTTAGCAGGAGTCATTGAATGAGGCCTTGAACACTTGCAGGGATGGGGCATCCGCAGCTTCTCTGGGCAACCTGGTCCAGTGCCTCACCACCCTCAGAGGGAAGAATTTCTTCCTTAGATCTAATGGAAATCTGCCCTCTTTCAGTTTAAAGCCATTACCTCTTGTCGTGTCACTACATGCCCTTGTCCAAAGCCCCTCTCCAGCTTTCTTGTAATCCCTTTAGGCACTGGAAGGTGCTGGAAGGTCTCCCCGGAGCCTTCTCCTCTCCAGGCTGAACAACCCCAACTTTCATTAGTCTCTATACTAATCCATGCAGCATGAGGAATAAATGAGGAGCAAGAAGCATTAGCCCAGTCCCGGAGCTATGGCATCATTGGCATAAGAGAACCCTGGTGGGATGAGCGTGTAGTGATAGGACAAGGGGCAATGGATTTAAACTGAAAGAGGGGAGATTTAGGTTGGATATAAGAAAGAAGTTGTTTACATTGAGGGTGGTGAGGCACTGGCACAGGTTGCCCAGAGAAGCTGTGGCTGCCCCATCCCTGGAGGTGTTCAAGGCCAGGTTGGATGAGGCTTTGGGCAACCCAGTATAGTGGAGGATTTCCCTGCCCATGGCAGGGGGGTTGGAACTGGATGATCTTTGAGGTCCCTTTTTTTTTCCATTCTATGATTCTATGATTCTGTGAGTCCTGTGATTGGTGTGCTGTGATGGATGGTTATAGGCTCTTCTGGAGGGGTAGGCAGGGCAGGTGAGGCAGGGGATGTGACACTGTGTGTAAGAGAGGGGTTGGATTGTATGGCGCCTGCAATTGGCAACGACGTGGTTGAGAGCCTGTGGTTAAGGATTAAGGGGAAAGCAAGTAAATCAGATGTTGTGGGAGTCTGCTATTGACCACCCAGCCAGGACGACAACACCGATGAATTACTCTATAAGGAATTAAGAGATTGATTCCTGAGTAAAAGAGGTGCACTGGATGCAATACAGCTCTGCAGAGGTATGCGCCCTAACCATTCTATGATTCTATGATTGTGATCATAACGAGAATGACCAGATCATATACCTTACAGGGGAAGATTTTGAAGGACTTGTAGCTATTGAGTCTGGAAAAGATTCAAGATAGAAATAAATTTTCAAATATGTAAAATATAGCTGCAGAGAGGACAAACAAATTATTCTCCATGTTTACTTTGAGTAGTACAAGGAATCTATAGAAAGGGCAACTTCAACTGGACACTTAGAAGAGCTCTTAATTGTGAAGATAGTAAAGTGCCGAAAGAGGTGGGACGTTCTTGTCACTGCAGACTTTGAGAAACTATTAAATAACCATCTGTCCAGATGGTAATAGATATAGTTGGATTTGCCTTAGAAGAAAGGGATGGACCAGATGGCCTCTGAAATTTTCTCCACAGATTGTTTGTTATAATATTCCTTTAAACCCATCATCTTACATTTTTGCCTTTAGCGCTTGCACTAGAGGTTTTCTTTCTGCATATTAGTACTGCAGTCAGCATTTTATCTTGCTCTGTGGTTTGAACCATTGATCACCTGCTTTGCTGGTCACTGCATTATTCCATGGGTTTACAAACTTGTGGTTCTCAGGGGCATGTCTTGAACAGAAAGTAACACGCAAGAATGCAAATAAAGTTACCTCTAATAAATGTGCAGAAATAAAACCCTCTGAAGACTGAGCAATATTGAATATACTGAGGGCCAGCAAAATATTTGAGACAGTGTAAATGGGAACAGTTCTACTTAGCCATCCCTAGAGGAACATGTGTAGATTGGGGTTTTTTTTGGTTGTGTCCTATCATGCTTACTCTGTTCCGCTCCAGCAACTGTTCGTATCCTATGGCAGGAAATAACGTTACATCCCACAGGACATGAAACAGGAAGAGACCATTTAAGAGCCTGGACATGACGAAGACACCTAGCTTGGCAAACTTCAGCCTTGGACTTATGTTTTCTTAGATTCCTGTTGAAGGTCCAGTACCAGAAAGCCGTCACTCTCACAGTGCCTGTAGCTGGAAAGGAGGAGTGCTAATTGCAGGAGGTCTGGGAGCAGCTGAGCAGCCTTTAGGTTCAGTTTTCTTTCTGAGGGACCTTGAACATGGCTTTCAGTGGCAGACAGTAGACACACATCCTCCTCTTATCCCAAGGTAAGTAGAAGGCATTCAGCAGTGAATCTTCAGCCTGTTTCTGTCTGCGTCCCTTACTAATGGAGTTCAGTCTCATTTTGAACTTACAGGTATTCACATACTGCACACGTGCATGACGGAAAACTTCTGCTTGTTGGTGGAGTGTGGTTTCATTCATCCGCTGTGCCAGGTGTCACTGTCATTGACTTAACGACTGGTCTCTGCTTGGACTATACGATTAATGTGGCAAGTACTGAATTTTTTCTTTCGGAGTAAACAGTGTTTTGTGAAGGAACCTGGTAACTTTAGGGCTATTCCCTAAAACACAGTAGGAAGTGCAAAGTAGGCATTTTCGTGACTGGAATAAATATTCCTTGTTTGAGCTAGAATCTAATTTTGAAGTGCTTTTACCCATCCAGACAACATAATAGTGTTAAAGGAGGGAGAGTCTGAGTGTAGAGAAGACTGGAGGGCACGGAGTTGCTCTATACCAGAAGAGGGAGCAGAAGTGAGATGGGCACAAGCATAGTCATTTCAGGATGTCTGTGGAAGAAGAGAACAGATGAAACCAGAGCCTCAGTTAGTCTTTATGGAGGTCTGTGGTATCGTTTCATTAAAAACTTCATGGTGGAAATTGCTGTGTGCTATAGCTGATGCCTGAAGTACAGGAAGAAAACAGCATGGAAATACTGGAAACTCTACTTAAATGTAAGAAAACTTTTTACTGTAAGGGTGATTGAACACTGAACAGGTTGCTCAGAGAAGCTGTGGTATCTCCATCATTGGAGATGCTCAAAACCTGACTGGGCAAAGTACTGAGCAACCTGCTGTAATTGAGCCTGCTTTGCACAGGGGTGGTTTTACGAGAGGATACTCAGAGGTCCCTTCCAACCTTAACTATTCCGTGATTCTGTTCTATGATTCGGTGAAGAACAATCATACAGATGATGTCACATAGCATGATTTTGGCATACTCTGGGCAAAACTTGGTCTAAATCTGTGAGTAGCCCTCATCTGTGATAATAGTGCCTGGAGTACAAGAAAGATATGGACCTGTTTGAGCGGGTCCAGAGGAGGGCCACAAAAATGATCAGAGGGATGGAACACCTCTCCTATGAGGACAGGCTGAGAGATAGTTGAGTTTGTTTAGGCTGGAGAAGAGAAGGCTCTGTGACACCTTATTGCAGCCTTTCGATACTTAAAGGGGGCTTATAAGAAAGATGGGAACAGACTTTTTCATAGGGCCTGTAGTGGCAGGACAAGGGGTAATGGTTTTAAACTAAAGGAGATTAGATTCAGACTAGATATAAAGAAGAAATTTTTTACAATGATGGTGGTGAAACACTGGAACAGGTTGCCCAGAGAAGTTGTAGATGCCCCATCCCTGAACACATTCAAGGTCAGGTTGGACGAAGCTCTCAGCAGCCTTATCTAGTTGAAGCTGTCCCTGCTCATTGCAAAGCGGGTTGGACTAGATGACCTTTAAAGGCACCTTCTAACCCAAACCATTCTGTGATGCGATGAGAAAGCTTCTGTTGCTTGACAAGTTTTTATTTGTCTAGAGAAACAAATTTCTTCAGATACCTGTATGTATGGATCCTGTCTTTGTTGAAACTGGAATTTCTGACTAGTCTGTTTTTTATAAAAGAGGCAGTATATGTACATCTGGCAGCATTTTCCTGAGGGCGTAAAGCATGAATTCTGCTTAACTGTAGTTTAGCTTTTTCTTACTCTCTATAGCAGAAGTTCTAAGTGGCCTAGTATCCTTTAGATGAAATAGACTACTCTTGTTGGATAGCAGTGATAATAAAGTTGTATCTCAAAGAATAAAACTTTTTTATTTACATGGAATAAGTGGATGCAGATGGATTGGTAGCTACCTTTACTTATGAGCTATTGGCTTTGACTTAGGTGAAACTCTGTAGGCTTTTGAACAGGTGGTCCCAGTTTTGAAAGACCGGAGTTGTCAGTGATTTTCTCTGCAGTACTAGATACTATTAGTATTACTGGATTCTATTAGTACTGTTACTATTAGTATTACTGCTTTGATACATCTGTTAGAAGTGATAGCACCAAAACCATTGGCTGGCAGCTTTCTCTGTGCTTGAAAAAGCCATGGAACAGTTACCATGGGCAAATGCATCTCTCTAACTCCCTATCCCTTAACTGTTCTCCAAGGCTATAGACAAGGGTGCACTCATAAAAGTTGCCTTCTGTCTTGAGGATTTTACAAAAGAAGCCTCTACAACCTGTCCTCTTCAGATTCCAGTGGCCCCAACAAGAAATGAATTGCCAACACAGCAGTTTTATTACCGCTGCAGTCTGTTACCTGCAACAAGTGTGTCTCCAACATTTACTTTCCTGAGCTTTCCAGTGTTGGAGGTCATCATGAAAAAGCTGCTCTATAGATTGTCAGATATACAGGTTATAAATCAGATGTTTCTTGGACCTCAGATGTTCAGCTGTATACTTTAGGCTGTTTCCTTTGTGGTGAAGAGGGCATGACTGTTCATTGCTTTTTCTGATGTAAGAAGTAGGAGACATCAAAAGAAGCTGGCAAGCAAACGAGTGCTTCATATGAAACATAGTTAAGCTCTGCAACTCCTCGCCAGAGGACATGAATGCCAAAGGTTTACATGGATTCAAAAAGTGACTGGGTATGTTCTTGGAAGGAAAAATGTTAAGGTTCAGGGAGTACAAAGACATTATCTCTCCTTAAAAATCACTGAACTGCAAGGTGCTTGGGAGGTGGAGTATACTAGAGGAGTATAGCATGGTTTCCATATTCCTGTGTTCTCTAACTGTCTATTCTTGCCCACATTTGTGGATGCTATAGTGAACTAAATTGTCCTAGATGGGACCCAGTGTGGCTGTTTCTAACTTTCTAATGAAGATACCGTATGAAATACCTCTACAGCACTGTATGAGGTACACGTGTTGAAGTCCTGTTTGTTCAAAATCTTCTTTCCTTTTTTAGGAGCATCTGGAATGGCCATTAATGCTACATAATCATAGCAGTGTCTTTCTGCCAAATGAGAAGGAGTTGTTGCTTATTGGCGGTGGTGGGAACTGCTTCTCCTTTGGGACACATCTGAACCCAGAGCCTGTCTCATTGAGCCTCAGCAACATCCTGAGCAGCCACTGACTGGGACCAAACAGGACTGAACCATGCTGCTGCACTGTGGTGAGACATCTGTGCACTTACAGGTCTGAGAGCAGCGATAAGTGTCTACAAAGGTTTTGTATCCAGAATGCATTTGTAAAGGTGGGATTAGGAGGGACAGTTATGCAGGGGTTGCATACTTCATCTGTCCTTTTTTTGTACTGCTCTTTGTGTTGCTGTAAATAAAATATCTCAAAAGTAACTCTGTGGTGATAGTAGTAGTCCTTAGAGGTGACATGAGGAACAGTGCTGTGTTCAAAAGGGACATGACTTTGCACAATGCCGACTTAGAGGTACAGTGAAGTCACTGAGTCAAAAAGCCACTGGAAATGTTCAGTCAAACATAATTAAATAAGTGAAAGGATGCGTATCATAGGTCATACTTGAATGTTTCCAAAGGTCATGTCTAGTCTAGATATGACAAACTCATGCTCCTCTGATCTTTGTTGCCAGCAGCTCAGACCCTGCTGGCTGTAGACCTTGCTTGTTTCCTGGGAGGCTAATGACATAGCAATAAAAGAGGGGCGAGGGGGGTGCTACATGAAATCATGACTCAGCCTCATTGCTAACATTTGAATTCTTCTGTGCCTGGGAAGGTGCCATGGTGAGGAGACTGTGCTTGGAACATAGTGTTTGAGCACAATGTTCAAACTAGGATGATGATCTTGAGAAGAGACATAAGCTTCTGTCAATATGTATTGTATCTAAGATGACCAAATTAGTTCAGGGAGTTTTTTCGTTTTGGGGAAAGCCCCACGGGAGACTACTAGAGGGAGACTCCTTGGAGTATAAACTAGAAAATGAGAAAGGGAGATCTATAAAGATGCAGAATGGGTTCACAGAAGTAGAGTACTGGAGCTAGTATTCTTTGTGATCCCAGTAAGAAAAACACTCAGACTGTGTAAGGTATTGGTTAAAATGCCATTTATTGAAGCTAAGACCAGAAGGAAAAAGAGGATAGTACAGGTAGTCTTGACGTCACTTCAGACACTGGGAACATGGAGTTGTGCTGAGTTAGAGGGACCTCCAGTGGGGGCATGGCATGCACTGCAGATCCTGCCTATGGAGAGGTTCCACCAACAACTTGGTTTCTCGAGCTCTTATTTTCTTAGAACAAAATAATACCATTCATCATTTCTACTGTCAAACAAAAGGATGTCCACTTGAGAACCTACTGCTTTACTTCATGATGAGGTGAAGGACATGCAGGTGATATAATTGCCAGTGCCAAGTGGGAGCCGTCTACGGGTTCCTTTCTTACCATTGTTAGGTGGCCAGCGTTATCCTGTGAGCAAGGGACGTGAGCAGCACAATGCAGGCTGGGAGGCCAAGCGTTATTTGCCACATGGCACAGCACCAGGCCTGCACCTTCTCAAGGCTGACTGTTAAATGGATCATAGAATCATAGAATGGTTAGGGTTGGAAGGGACGTTAAAGATCATCTATTTCCAACCCTCCTGCCATGGGCAGGGACACCTTCCACTACACCAGGTTGCCCAAAGCCTCATCCAACCTGGCCTTGAACACTTCCAGGGATGGGGCATCCACACCTTCTCTGGGCAACCTGGTCCAGTGCCTCACCACCCTCAGAGTGAAAAATTTCTTCCTTATATCCAATCTAAATCTCCCCTCTTTCAGTTTGAATCCATTTCCCCTTGTCCTATCACTGCACACCCTTGTAAAAAGCCCCTCTCCAGCTTTCCTGTAGGCCCCCTTTAAGTACTGGAAGGCTGCAATAAGATCACCCCGGAGCCTTCTCTTCTCCAGGCTGAACAGCCCCTTGCTCCTTAGATCACTCCTGTACAATATTCTGGTCAGGATCTTTGGTACTCCCATGGTTTTCTTCAGTGTGAGCAGTAGCAACAACAAAGGCAGAAAACATATCAACAGTTACATGCACATATTTAGATCGATTAAACGATTGAATATAAGTAATATCAGTTTGCCATAATTCGTTGGCACATAAACCTTTTGGATTTACTCCTGCTGGAGTATTTGAAGGCACAATATGTTGACGGTCAGGGCAGACGTGTACAATCTGCTGAGCCTGATCTGCTGTCTGACCTGACGGAGAGCATCATCTACCACCAATTGACAAACTGTAGGAATATTCATCATTCCTTGAGGCAGTACAATCCAATGATATTGTTGCGTGAGTAGTTCGTTGTTAAGCACTGGAACTGAAAAGGCAAATCTAGGACAATCATTAGGGTGTAAAAAAAAAAAAAAAGTAAAAAACCCCAATCTTTTAAATCAATCACCATCAAATGC